CCTAACTCTTATTAAAGCAATTGATACATCGGAATCAGAGCCGGATTATACCTTTCGTAGGCCCTAGGCATAGCCGCTTTTGGGTCCTCACCTCCTTCCCCCACTCCTTCCCTCTTTTCAAAATATATGCTGAAATGTTCTTGCATATTTTTTTTTTACATTTTTATTAATATGGATTTTAATTTATAAATTCGTTTATCGAACTTTATCTGCAATACCGACATATTGCCGATATTGCAGTTGATATCGATAATACCATTATGATTAGTTCGATCGATAACTATGTAAACACTTCACGTCAACAATACAACAACAAACCAGCAAAGAAAACAGTGAAATTGATAGTGAGATTAATTACAAGAAATATTTATACTACAAATAGCTTCATAGTTTTCATGATACTACTATGATAACTAAGTGAAGGAAATTAACATTGTCAAAAATAAATCTTTTGAAATTATTTATAAATAAATTTGAATAATAAATTTAAAGCTAAATTATTTTTGTCAACAAATTTTTTTCTCCCAAGTTTTTCGTAGGCCCCTGAATTTCGTAGGCCCTAGTCACGTGCCTAGTGTGCCTATAGGTTAATCCGGCCCTGATCGGAATCAAACATTATCTTAAATATCAAGCAAAATCACGATAGAAATATTTTCAAGCGTCGGTGGAAAAATAAATAATCAGCAAGGAAATTAACTCATTATAATATTCTATATAAATATTAAAAATGAACAACTAATTCAGCATTCCTAAAACACACTCACGAATTACACGCTAAAAATTATGTTTAACAGAAAATAGTTATTAATAGCAGGGATTTAAAAAGAATTACTTCAAAAAGCATTTAATTTTTTTTTTGCTCAGGTTTTTTTTTAAAAAAAAAAAAAAAACATAAGACAATCCAGGAAAATTAATTTATTCAAAGAAAAAATAAACAATTCAATAAAGAACAACATTGATTAATATTGCATGGCTGTTGTTGTAATAAGGAATTTTATCAAAAATTATTATTTATTATTTTTAACGAGTAAATGAACCCTAAGCTCTCTGTGGTCAGTGTCCCTTGACCTGAATATCAGTCCTTTATCAAAATATTTAAATATTCTTGTGGAATTTCTTAAAAGTCTATTTTATTTTTATTTAGAGATTTTCAATTCTTCGTAAACAGAACCCACACTCCAATATGAAACCAATGTTGTCAAATACCGGAAGATATTATCAGATCGAATATTCGCACAATCTGATCATTTTTGATCGAAGTCGTGTCTTCTTTTCATCACTTCTAAACTATTTATAGTTCTAAAGTAACACATAGTCTTAAAAATCTTGTATTCTAGCATTTTATTATGTGCGAATGGCGTCATTGAAATATTTTTCATTCCATTTAAGATAAAAGAAAATATCTCAGACTAATATGTTTTTGTTTCATTTGAGATGTAAAAAGAGAAAAAGTATCAAAATTTATCAAATTCTGAAGAAGTAATATTTTGTGAAAGTGGAAAAAAATTACTTATACTTCAATTTATTATTATTTTGTGTAAGTACTGACGAAAAGGAAAGTAGTGAGATAAAGGCAAAAACAAGTAGTAAAGGAAGGAATGTAATAAGAAACGCGGAGTAATAAGAGATATAGAATAATAAGGTTCACGGAGTAAAACAAGACATAGAATAACAAGATACATAGAATAATAAGAGATGTAGAGGAAAAAGATACATAGAGTGATAGAAGAATTAGAATTTATAAGAGACATGAATTAATCAAAAATATAGAATAATAATAGACGTGTAGTAATAAAAAATTTGCAAAAATATAAATTTGTAAAAATAAGAAATTTGTAGTAATAAAAGAAATATATAAAGCAAAGAAAGGGGGGGGATTTATTTTTAGTTGCAAATTGCGTAATAAGAGATAAAATGAATTATAAATCAGAATTTACACCTAGGCTTTATTATTTTTTTCACGTGAACTTGCACTTTATGCACTTGAAAAAATATTTTAAAAAATTATATCGCAAAGATAAGTTATTCAAAGAAATATCATAGTGATTACAATTTATGCATTTTTATATTATTTTTTAATTGAAATTGGAATTCTACTTAAATTTGAATAAAGGATTCGGTAATTTTTGTTTTACTACTTTCAAACAGAATGAACACTTTCAGAATATCGTTTTTAATCATTTATAACCTAACTGTAACTACTTAGTTTGAAATATGTATAATCTTTTGCTTCGATAGTATTCACAATTAAGTAAACTGAACATTCAGAATAAGTAATTTTCAGATTTAAAGTGTTAACTATTTCAACCAAGTGAGAACCAAGTGATGCTCAAGATTAAAGTGTTAACTATCAACCAAGTGAGAAAGAACATCCGATTACTATTAAGCTTTAAATATTAAAATAAATCTATGGCAGGAAGAATTTAGGAAAACCCTGATATATTGAATAAGATTAAACAAACGAATTAAATAATACAATAATATTATATACATTTACGTATCATTGCGAAACTACTCTGATTTGAAGTTTCATTGAAACATCAACAGATTATAAATCGTTATAAGCGTAAGATATAGAATGAAGTTAAACTCAGATGTTGAAGAAATTAAAAAGATAACATTTTAACGTATTCAAATATCGGAACGAAATATTAAGTTGAAAAAAGCTATGTTTTCATAGTTTCAAGTTAAATTTAGTTTCAATTTAAGTGGGACTCTTAGAACACGCGCGTATCCACCACAAAAAAAAAAAAAAAAAAAAAAAAAAAAAAGGTTCTGGAAGATAATTGAGAATGCGTTTTTTATTTATATGCTAAACCAAGTCTTCGGCAAATGTTTTATCAAAGGAAATATGAAATGTAAATATAGGTTTATCTAATTTTGAAAGGCACTCGGATAAAAAGTAAAGAGTAAATATTTTAAGAATTATTTGATAACAACTCATGGCTATTTCATACTATTCGAAACCATTAATAAAAATGACTCTGTCTTATAAAGAAAAATATATTTAATATTAATTCAATGCCCTAAATAAAATAAGAATTAATTTCTATCGAATCTAAACTAAACTAACAAAGAAAATTTGCTTAATTGCCATTAATTAGCTTATCAATTATCCATATAATTTTATCATAAACCCACCAGATTGATATAAAACATCCTAAATGACATATTTTGTGAAAATGGGATAGCAATATTTTAATGAAGCGCAATTTTATTTTCCGTTTTCCTTACATTAATTTCCAATTGCAAGTAGCAATTGGTAAATTTTAATAAAAAAGGAATAATAAATCCCCACATATAATTGTTAATATTTAACAAGTAAGGTAACAATAGATTCAGAAAACCTTTTATTCAGTAATGTTTCGATTTACATTTTTTGCGGTGCATGACACTTAAAAATTGAATATTAAAATGAACCAAAAATAAATTTTTCCTAACTTCACAACACAAATCATTCACAAGAACAAACTCAGTTAAGCTTATTTTATAGAATACTTCGTAAAAATGAAATTTCGTTCAAGTTTATTATCAAACTTACTACTACGGTACAGAGCAGTCCGAACCGGCTTACAGCTTCAAAGATTTGTCATGAGCGTAAGTGACAAAGCTAATTGTTAACTTTTGTACTGTTGACAAAAATCAGTTAAAACGTAAATGCTGAGTGCAGGTAATATATGTATATATATTTTTTTTGAACGTATATAATTTTATTCTTGTTCTAATCATATATCGATTGTCTAAGGTGACCTCATTCTCCTAATCTTAACCTTTGAGACTTTGGGCTATAGTAAGGACTAATTTCAGATATATAGCATATATCATCAAAACTATCTCTGAGCTCAAAATTGCCATTCAGAAGGATTACGATAATATTGGTGCCTCGACAACGAGTTTTAAAGAATTTGCAATTCGTCTGCACGACATCATAGTCAATACTGGCTAGCATATCGAACATGTCTTAAACTAAATTCAAATGTCTGTAATTTCTTGCAAAATTTACATAAAAAATTTATAGGCAGTAGTTTTTGAATGTTTTAATTTCGAACCGCTCAATTAATGTCACTCCATAAGTCTGACTTTTAAGTTGCAAATTTTATTAAAAAATTATTTCGTTTAAATTGTTACAGGTGTGAATTAACAGTCGAATTGCAGATTTTTAACATGATACAACAATTTTGTTTAACATTATTTAAAAAGTTGAAAAAAATGCTTCTGTGATCAGTACATTTATAAAAATATACAAAAAAGTAAGTAATTGTAATGGATTGTTTATTATCAGAATAATTAGGGTAAACGAGTTAGATAAATTTGTATAATATATTTTGAATAGCGAGTCAGTTACTGCGACATATTTATAAAAAGAAATTAACATTACCTGAATCGAGCTTTCAACTATGAAAAAGTTATTGATGTGTATTGGTTGTTTACGTAACGTAACTTAAAGTAACATATTTAATTTAAAAATAAACATTAAAAGCTGGAAAAAGATTCCTAAAATTATTTTTATATAATATCGTTTGCTCAAAATAATTATCATATTCTTTTATTATGACCTTCGTGAATTATAATTATTTTTTTAATTAAATAAGGCCATGCCAAGAAAACTTCTGCGAAACAAATATTTTTCAGTAATAATTTGTAAGTTTACATAACTAACCATAAATTTAAATATATATATGTGGAAGTAGAGTTAGGTTCGAAGAAAGAACGATAAAATTTCGCTATGAAATAATGTGAAGAACGATGAAAACTGCATCAATTCACACAATAGAAAATTCATAACTAAAAATAAATGTTTTTTTGTTTTTTTTTATCCAAATCGTTTAAGCGTTGAGTTTATCGTATTCACCCAAGCATTTTACCAACACCATTATGCAATAATCCCAAGGATTTTGAATTTGAAAAAAAAATCACTCAACTATCGCTTTACTCAGCCGTAATATTGGCTCAGCTATCTCCCTAATTGGCGGCATAAATTTAATTCGTTGATAAGTGCAACCCTTTGTAAGCAACATTCTTTTTTCCTGTCGTTCTTTTTCACTTCGTTATGCATTAGATCTGTTGTAAGACACACACGCGTTGCTTTTGTACTCACGTTCTTAAATACTCAGTATTTATTCAAAATGCATTTAACTATGTATTTAAAAAACAACTTGTTGACAATTTTTCTCGTCATTACTTTGAGCAATAGCGGTAAGATGAATTTTTATTCTTTTTTATGTGCATAACTATTATTTAAATAAAATTGTGTGTTTTTCTTGGTTGATGAATTTTAACTCGAAATATTCAGAAAATATTAACTCTCAAAGTATTTGAATAGGAGAGAAAATTATGATTAATTTTTAAAATATACATAGAATATTAAAAAATATAATTTGTTGATACGTATATTTTGAAGGGGAAAATATAATTCTTTGATAAAGCACTAAAAGAAAGAACTTTTTCTCTACTTAAATATTTGAGAATAATTTATGATAAAACTAAAGACAAATTGAAGAATAATTTGTAAAATATGAATGAATATCAACAAATATAGAGTATTTTAACAAAAAAATATATAATTTTTCGATAAAGCTATTTAAGAAACACTCTTTTTTTTAAATCAGACTTCTTCTCTTCGTTGTATTGGATTTTTCTAAATACATATACTTATAATTCCGAAAATATTTTAGAAAAATGTTTTAGAATAAATGTTATTTAATTTTTAAATTTAATTTTAAAGTATTTATAAAATAATAAATTGAGAGCATCGTTTCGTAAGAAACGTTTTTTCAGACATTCCTCTTCACTTCATAACTATGCATTTAATTTTTTTTTTATTGATTCTATTTTATTTGCTGTAATGCACTCGGCAATGTACATCTTTTTAAATATACACAATTTATAAACTTCAATATAATATTGTGAAACAAATTACGTTTTCTAGAATACTTAATTTAAATTGAAAATATACTTAAAATATTTAAGAATAGATTTTTCTTTAAAAAGGATAAAAGCGAAACATAATGTTTAATTTTTGAAACAAAATTTTTAGTTTATTTAATTTGAAGTGGATGATTGATAAAGCTAGGAGAATCCAGAAAATTGAGACAAATATAGATTTTTTTCTTCTTAGTTATAGATAAGTCAGATAAAATGATAGTTTGGTTCTTAATAATAATGCCTTTTTGAAGGATAGTAACAGTTTTATTGCTTGCATCACTTAATTAAAATATTTTAATCGAACCATAATGTGCATTTAATGTGTAATGAATAACATAATTTATTGTAACTGTAATGTAATTTTTATAATAGATTGTTCTATGATTAAAATTGATTTAAGTGCATTATATTAATTTTAAACAACTTTAAAAAAATAAAAAAATTATAATTTGATTTTTGTTTAAAAAATTTCATTTGTTTTTTAGGATAAATATTTTCGGAAAAAGGTTTTTAAACAATGAAATCAGAATTTATGTTTTGCATTTATATTTTAAAACATGAATAACTTTTATTACGTTAAGTTTAGGCAACAAATTTTTTAAAAACTGTAGCAGTGCTTAACATTTGCTTATATATTTATTTAGTGTTTTTTTACGTTAAGCGTTGCCATTATAATATTTTTTAATTGTAAAATGAACGCTGATAACTTTACAAACTTTGAATCTTTTCGAAGACGTTTTTTTTCTCTTTATCATATAAAATGTTTTTTAAATCATTAAATTTTAATTATAGTCACACTGAATTGTAAAATATCTTATTCTATCTAATAATTCTATGTTTTTTTGATCTTTTGTATAACCTTGAAAGTTTTTTTTCCTTTCTAAATGTAATATTTAGACTGTTTAATGTTTTCTTATGTTAAAACTAAAGGGTAAATGCAAACGACAAAAACGAACTGTAAATTTTTCTAAAGAAATCGCGAATTCTAACAGGCATGTCATTTCCACTTTATGAAATCATGTTAGTGAATAACGGGATCAATTAGTTGTAGTAGTACTTGTTGACTCGTCGACCTCTTTTATTATTTTCCTTTAAGGAAACAGAGCTCAAAAGGGTGAGAAAGAAATTAGAACCTGTTTTTGCTATTAATTTTTCTATTCTTCAGTTTTTTTTTCCTCCATAATTTCTACTAGTAAATAATCAATAATTTGCCATTCATGTTTTTTTTAAACAAACCCACTTGTGGGAAAGATACTTCCTACTCAATTCATACATACAACAACAAAAAAATAATGCACATGCAAAAATAATGCATATATTTTAAAAAATAATGCACATAGAAATTAAGAATTAAAATACGTAGAATTTAGGTTGCATAGAATTTTAGACTGACAAATAAACAAATTTGCTGTGATTGTTGCAACCTGTTTTCTTTGTTTCTTTTTTAGTCAACCATACTAATCAATAATTCCTTATGAGAATAATCAAAGTAAACTCATATAATAATTAATATTTAGCATTCTGAACTGAAAGAATTCTTTGAATTCACATACTTACGCACTTTAAAATTCTTGGATGTTTAATTCTACAACTTTTTAATCCATATTCCATACATAATAATCAATTTCTTAGAGAATAATCAAAGTCAACTAATATTATAATTAAATATTAAACGTTCTGAACCAGTGAGAGATTTCTTAGATTTCGAAGATTTATGCATTTAAAAATTCGTGGATGTGTAATTCAATAACTTATTACGCTGTACATAATAATCAACAATTTCTTAAAGAATAACTTAAGTAAACTCATATTATAAATAAATATTTCATATTATTCATCATATTATATTATAATAAAATGCAACGTCCTGAACCAATGTGAGAGTTCTTTGAATTCGCAGATTTACACATCTAAAAATTCTTGGATGTTAAATCCACAATTTAATTTTAGATTTTTGTTAAATGCACAAAAATCCAAAATCCACAATAACTCAAAATTTGAAAACTTTCAATGAATTTTGTATAAGTATGAATACTCATTGTATTCGTTAGATACAAAATATCTCATTTTTATTCACAAAAGATTGCTGAAATCATTCAGCAAACCTGGGATTTTTTGTTGGCATTTTGTGAAGTTAATGAGCTGAAAGAAGTGGAACATATATGTTGAAGAAATGCTTCGTCAATTTCCTTTATGCTCTGTTGATCGTAATCAAGACTGTTGATGTATTCGGAAAAAATTACATCACTTTCTATATTATAATTCCGAATTTCGTTTAATTGAAAATGAAAGCATTTTCCTTGAAAAGAAAACAAAACTGATTTCAATAATGAGTAAATGAAAATAAATAATAAATAAAAAAAACTGTTGCTATTTGATACAAGGTCAGTGAAAAGTTTTTTTTATCCCCTTTCCATTTGTTAAGAGAAATCCTTTAGAAAAGGTAAATTATTTTAATTTAAAAATTTAATTCCTTTTTTGAAATGTTAAAAAGGAAGCCTTACTTTTAGAAAAACATGTAAAATTTTATTTAATGTAACATAAATGCTTAAACAAAAATTTTATTTGACAACGAAAATTAGTATAAATACATTTCAAATTTTGACTTCTTCCTTATCTATTAAATATTATTCTTTAAATTTCATTTAAATTCAATTTATTTACCCATTTAATGATAAAGCGTTGCGAGCCATTTCAATACGAGAGATGAACAAATTCGAAATAATTTAAATCTTTAACTTAAAGCATTAATATTTAATTTAAAATTTAATTTACAAATCTTTCAGTATAAAATTTTGTATAAACGTCAGCAAAATGAATGTTTCATAAGTAAATTACAAAATCATTGAAGTATACTCGTTTGTCTGTTTAAAACAATACTTAATAAATATTAATAATATACTGTGAAATAGGTAGTTTGCTTAATATAAAATTTATCGCAATTGATAAAAGAACAATAGGATTTAAAACAGGCAACAAATCAGATAAAAACATGAATTTCTTTAAAAATATTAAATTTGATCAATCGACGTTCAATTACTGTTCTGTAAAGGTGTAAGTTGTATTACTTAAGAAACTGCTATCTCTCGTGTTCTAACCACGTGTAGTAAAGTTAAGATATTTTTTTTCTTTCGATTGAAGAACAAATGTGCTACTTGGCGTTTAAAACATTTTGTTGCTATTTTAGAAATAGAAAATTAAGCTTGTTTTACTTTGTTCAACAAATGCAATTAAATTCTCTTCGTCATGGTTACTAAAAATAGAGTTGTTAAGTTTCACATCCCGTTAACAAATGTTTACTTTGTTACAATGTTTGAAAATGGTTTAGTTAAAAAAAAACTAAGTAAATAAATATCTTAGTCACTAAAAGCAAAGATGTTAAAAACATATAGAATATTCTTGCGAGGGAAATTAACTTTCTGTTGATTACGAATCTGGAAGTTAACAAGTAGTACAAGATCTTTAAATAAACAGCGTAATTGTGCTGATAAGATATTTTAAGTATGTTATAGGAATATAACATTAAGGGAGCAAATAAGCATTCACAAATGAATACGTGATAAAAAAGATCAATAGTACTCTTTTTCTAAACATTTTTTTAATTCATAGCAACTCTTCATTAAATGATATTTAAAAGTGCTACAGGTTGTATGACAATTATGGCAAATGTAGTATGCCAATTGATAAAATATACCTACTATCTCTATTTTGTACATTTTTACTTAATAGATGTATTTGAATCTTTTTTTCTTCTAAAAATTTCACTAAAGATTAAATTTTTTTTTTAAAAAATGTGCATATTGTACTACATGATTATAAAAACAAGCTTGAATTTTTAAAAAAATGTTTAAATGTATTTATTCAGGTAATTAGTGTACTCCCCTCACTACCACTGTAGTGTTATGTGAGAAATTACCATATTTTCATGTTTATGAAACGCTATTTTTCGATTAATGTTATGATTTTAAACTATAAATATAATTTTGCCGTGAAGAATTATCTGCGCTTTAGAACAGACAAATAACTTAAATATTTTAAAATTTACTAATTTTTAAAAAAATCGCCACTTTGGCCTTATTATCAGTTTTTGTAAGTTTTTATGAGCCCAGGCAATGCAACATTGTAGTAGGTTTAGTGTTCAATTTTCACTCGATTCACTAAAGCAAAATAAATTTTAAAAAATGTAATTTTTTTTGTTTATGTAATTTGAAATTTAATAAATATACATCGTGTATCATTTATAAAGCATCCTATAATTTTTTCGCAAGCAC